AAACGCGAAATAAGTGTCAGATCAAAAAAGTAAAATAAAAGGTGCACAATGGCACTATGTAATAAAGAATCTGTGAAAGTATCATTAAATTTTATTCAGTGATATAGGAGGAGTTGCGGATAAGAGATGGGTACCCCTCAGTATTATAGAAAGAATGGCAGTGTCCATGTTTTTGGGAAACCCGAAATATGTATCCGATCCGATCAGGAAAAAGACAAAGGCACTATGTAACAAAGATTCTGTGAAAGTCTCATTAAATTTCAAACAGTGGTATAAGAGGAGTTGCGGATGAGATGGGTACCCCAAAGCGTAAGGGACGGACATACAACTAGACGGACGGACACCCCCATCACTATATACCCCCCCTGCTTTTCAAGCGGGGGTATAATAATATTACAGTTCAATTTAAATTTTGAGAAATTTTAGAAATGTGTTCCTGTAAAGTATCTGGGAACATATTTAACGGTCTATTTTCAATTTTACAATATTAAAATTTCTAAATTAGATTTCCATTAAAAGAAATATTGAACAAGAAGCCCATGGGTAACAGCGCTCACCTGAGTCAATATGGCCCTGCTGCTCCTCATCAGCAGATTTCTTCTCCTATTTATTCATATGTATAGCTTTCATCGTCTGTTCTAGGCATACCCTACCCTCAGGCGCCATGTTCTGAATGAAATTGAATCTTAACTTTCTGAGGATGCTTCTATATTCATATAACTAATCATGGCTTTGCTAGTCTTGTAAACGGAATTTTAAAGATGTCTGCCACCCTGCCCTGGAAGAGGGTCGTGATTCGAACAAACTTGAATCAACACTATCTGAGGATGCTTCCATATCAATACGACTAATCATGGTTTTGTTGTTCTTGAGAAGATTTTTAAAGATATTTCCTATATATGTTCTTTTGTAAAACTTTAATACCCCATTATGGCCCCACCCTACTACTGGAGGATGTCTTGAACAAACTTAAATCTTCCATATCAATATGACTAATCATGGCATTCCTGTTCTTGAGAAGATTTTTAAAGACTTTTCCTATATATTCCTATGTAAAACTTTGATCCCCCATTGTGGCCCAACCCTACCTCCAGGGGTCATGACTTGAACAAACTTGAATCTACACTACCTGAGGATGATTCCATATCAATATGACTAATTGTGGCTGTGTTGTTCTTGAGAAGAAGTTTTTTAAAGAATTTTCCTATATATTCCTATGTAAAACTTAGATCCTCCATTGTGGCCCCACCCTACCCCCGGGGGGCATGATTTGAACAACCTTGAATCTACACTACCTCACAATGATTCAACATAAGTTTCATATTTCCAAGCACAGTGGTTCTTGATAAGATTTTTAAATGATGCCATTAATTTTTCAAGAATTCATAATTATCTCCCTTGCAAGAAGGCATGACCCTTCATTTGAACAAACTTGAATCCCCTTTACCCAAGGATACTTTGTGGCAAGTTTGGTTGAAATTGGCCAAGTGGTTCTTGAGAAGAAGATGAAAATGTGAAAAGTTTATGACAACGATAGACAACGGACAAATTTTGATCAGAAAAGCTCACTTGAGCCTTCGGCTCAGGTGAGCTAAAAAAGGCAAAATTAAATCTTCTGTGCGGGAGATAAGAAAATTTGTTTGTGGTATATATTTTTGGTCGGCTGACCACAGCAGGACAGAGTAAAAGGTAATGCACTGTGGAAAATGTAACATTAATGCATCAAAATACTTTGTCAAATTGTAATATATCTGTTTATCTTAATATTACGATAAAATAGTATCACTTCACATAAATATTAAACAACTAATTTGGCATAGTTAAATTGAAATGCATGAAAGTTTCAGTAGTTTGGAAGAATTGCCGAAACAAACCTGCATAGAATTAGGGACTAGCACCTGATCAGAGTCCCCTTACAAAAATTCTTCAAGTTTGTTCAAATCATGACCCCCCGGTGTAGGGTGGGGCCACAATGGACGATCAAAGTTTTACATACGTAGGAATACATTGGAAAAATCTTCTTCACCAGAACCACTGGGCCAAGAAGGATGAAACTTATGTGGAAACATCTTCAGATAGTGTAGATTCAAATTTGTTCAAATCATGATCCCCAGGGGTAGGGTGGGGCCACAATGGACAATTTTTACATTGGAATACATAGGATAAACCTTGAAAAAATTCTTTTCTCAAGATCAGCAAAGCCATGACTGATTATATTTACATGGAAGCATCCTCAGATAGTATAGATTCAAGTTTGTTCAAATCATGACTCTGGGGGTAGGATGGGGCCACAATGGACGATCAAAGATTTATATATAAATACAAAGGAAAAATTTTGAACAATCTTTTCTCGACAATAGCAAAACCATGATTTGTCTTATTTATATATATAGAAGCATCATTGGATAATGTTAATTAAAATGTTGAAATCATGACCCCCTGGGGTAGGGAGGGGACACAATAGGTGATAAAAGTTTTAGTTAGGGATATATAGGAAAGATCATTTAAAAATCTTCTTCTCAAGAACAACAAAGCCATGATTAGTCATTTCAATACAGAAGCATCTTTAGGAACTGTAGATCACTAAATTTTCGCGACACCTTATTTTCGCAAGATAGTCATTGACTCTTAACCACATATTGTGGTTATTGCTCTATATAATCTTAAGGAATACTAATATACACGAGAATGAAATTTTCTTCTTCTATCAGTTTATTTTATGCTCTATGGATCCTCTATGGATTGTTTTTTATACTCAGGTGACCATTAAGGCCCTAGGGCCTCTTGTTTCCTATCTAATTTTACTGTATATAAAACTTTGATCGCTCATTGTGGTCCCACCCTAGCCCTGGGGGTCATGATTTGAACAAACTTGAATCTACACTACCTGAGGATGCTTGCGTATAAATATGTTCTTGAGAAAAAGATTTTTCCTATGTATTCCTATGTAAAACTTTGATCACCCATTGTGGCCCCACCCTACCCATGGGGGTCATGACTTGAACAAACTTGAATCTACACTACCTGAGGATGCTTGCATATAGATATGACCAATCATGGCTTTGAGAAGAAGATTTTTTTCCTATGTATTCTTATGTAAAACTTTGATCCCCCATTGTCGCCCCACTCTACCCCCAGGGGTCATGATTTGAACAAACTTGAATCTACACACCTCACAATGATTCGACAAAAGTTTCATATTTTCTAGCTCAGTGGTTCTTGAAAAGATTTTTAAATGATGCCATTAATTTTTCAAGAATTCATAATTATCTCCCTTGGAAGAAGGCATGACCCTTCATTTGAACAAACTAGAATCCCCTTTACCCAAGGATACTCTGTGGCAAGTTTGGTTGAAATTGGCCAAGTGGTTCTTGAGAAGAAGTTGAAAATGTGAAAATTTTATGCACGACGCACACCCGCATGATGACGGAGGAAAACAGATAGCAAATAGGTCACCTGAGTGACTCAGGTGACCTAAAAATCTTCTTCTCAAGGACAGCAAAGCCATGATTACGGTATATGGTTCATATATATATATATATATATATATATATATATATATATATATATATATATATATATGGTTCATATATATATATATATATATATATATATATATATATATATATATATATATATATATATATATATATATATATATATAAATTAATAAATTTTGCAAATAAACTCCGAAACGGGTGCACCAGGGTTTTACCAACTCCTCTGTGAATACACTAGATACAAGCTGATGTCCGTAAACTATATTTAGATTTCACTCGCATGGTAAGTATCTTACATTAAATTAAAAGTCTACTTTCATTTTCTATAAACAGCCATGAAATAGCAAAAACGTGAGTACGGTGGCGGTTCCGTTTGGCGGATCTAAGTTACTGGCAATCTGATAATGAAACTGACAACAAACAATCGTTTATTTATTTCATAAAACGTCATCACTGAATTATTCAATCAAAACTTGATTTAAATGATATAAAAGAAATAAGTTGTGATAACCGATTAAAAGGGGAAATGTGCAAATTATTTTTATCATTCACCGATCTTAATATTGACGGAAACTTCTAGAACATCATATAGCTAAAGAGAAAAAGGAGGTGATGATAGCTGCATGGACATAAAAAAGCTGTTGTGTGAATGGTCATTGAAATAATGGAAAATCATTGATAACACTGTAGATTGTGAATATATTTATATATGGAATGACTAATAGTATGTTTTCCTTATAAATTTATCGGTAAAATTTGTATATTCCTCACTGAGAGTATCGTGGCAACGAACCCGAAGTACAATTTTGTACTTCGCAATAAACTTCCGTACATAAAATAAAAAGAGAAAATTAATGAATAAGGTATTGTTCAAATATAATTAAAGTTTTTCAAATTTTGTGCTTTAATCAATACATTTCAGTTTTTTTTTCTTTTTTTGTCTTCCTGAATACAGTCTTTTGTATCAAATACTCGGGCGTTAAAAGCTAACGTTTACCCCCCCCCCCCCCCCCAAAAAAAAAAAAATCAAGTTATCATTAAATGTGCATATTCGCTGCTTTTATCCTTGACGGCACCTGAAGTGCAATATCCATAACAAAGTATAACAGGTTTCACAATAAACGTCAATTTATGAAATTATTATTTTTCAAGTTTTTACAAGGGGAGGGGGATGGAGAAGTAGATTTTCTTCTGCTCAAAAACTAAATGCTGGATTTTGAACAAAGTACGCGTGTTTCTTCCTGCTATAAGCCTGTACGCTGTCAGTAGAAACTACAATATAATGAATTTTTCTGTCGGTAGTTGTATAAATTCAATTACTTGCGCGGGATTTCATCTAATATATATATATATATCTGTCTACAATCATATTTATGCTTGCCCATCTCTACTTCACTAAGAAGGTGCTGAGGAGATGAAAAGTGTTTTGAGGCTGGAAGCATGAATTAAACATAGAAAAAAAAAATAAAATTGTTTCACCAATTCATGATTTATCGTAGTCTTAGATTTATCAGCAAACAATAAGCCTATATAAATACAATTCGTCCATTAGTACAATGGTGCACAGTATACAGAGTAATGTAGAACACAACGCAAAACGAAATTAATAGCAAAGGGTTGTTCAACATTAAAAATTCTTAAAACAAGTAATGTCGGTTATTCTTGCTGTGTTAGGAATTTAGTCTTGTCAAGACACCTGCAAATGATTTTGTAAATACATTGTATTTACAACGTGTATTTTTATTAAGTGGTATAAAATTTTGTTTTAAGATCTCAGCCTTAAAGAATAGTAAAATCATGTGTAGAAATACACTTATATACCCACTGCATTCAGAATATATATGTACATATATACCAAGCGAATTTGAAAATGGAACGGAGAATAAACTGAACAAATACAGAAACACAATTTTTTCAAGAGTTGTGCCCCCCCCCCCCCCCATTTAATTGCAAATTAAATGTCTATTTCACAATCAAAAACATAAACTAGCAGGATTTACTCTGTCGGGGGCAGGAGTTCAGTCCTGCTCTTACAGAGGATTTTATCAAAAATCTTCGATTGTTCAAGTCTACCGTACGCATCCTCTAAAAAATCCAGGATTCGCCCTGTATTTATGATTTCCTATCAAGAACACCATTTTAACAACTTCATGTGGTAAATTCAAATATTTTCACAGTACCCCCAGTCTCCGCCACAAAGAATCGGTTACTGTTCTCCTGAAATTTGATACATAGGGGCTCTTTCACTCCTTTCAAAATTCTTAGATTTTCACCATCTGGTGACAAAATGTGTATATTATTGCTTTTGTGGCCATTCACATAGATAATTCCGTGTCTGTCCACTGTTAATCCATATGGACTTTTTAATTCCTCATGGTAGTATGTGAACAAAACATTTCCTTTTCTGTCTTCTTTTCTGATGATATGATCAGTGTAACTGGAATAAATGATATTTTCCTCCACATTCACAGCTACATCATACATATTACGTAAATCACTCGAACTCCTTATATTTTGAAAATCCTTGTCCAGTACTTTTAATGTTAATTGACAACCGATTGCAATCGTGTTACCTGACTGTGACATTCCAAAGCATGAATAGCCAGAATCGATCCGTTTTACTATATTCAGTGAATCAGTGTTCAACAATAGAATCGCTTTCACATCTGGGAGTGTAACATATATGTGGTTTTCATCGTAGAGAGAAACATCCCATGGACGGTCTTTGAGAGTCACTTCTTTCAAAATGAGCCCATCTGTTTTACAGCGTATCAGTCGAGATCTCTTCTTCGAATAATCAGTCACAATGAGTTCATTGTTTCTTAGATAAACTCCACCTCTTAAATTATCGACATCAATTTTAAATTCAGAAATCATTTGAGCTTCGGCATGTTTTATGTTAGTTTCATTCAGCATCAGAGACTTTATGCCCTCCATTAGATAAATTTCGCCCAGGCTAGGTAGTTCAATCAGTTCACCAACACTCTTGTGTATAGTAGACTTTATTCCCACTTCTAACTTTGAAATATCCAGTTTTCTTAAATCTTTAAATATCTGTGCTAATTTTATGTATGACAGAACAAACTCTGATTCTGATGATTCCTCAGGCGATAAATTTTTCGATGTTGCTTCTTTCCAGTATTGTAGATAACACCGTCTTTGCTCCAAAGCCTCAATAGATTTTTCAAGTTTTGCTTTAGCATCTTTGGACAACTTTGCAACCTCATTTAAATGTTTTTCCTCCAATCTTTTCACAGATTCTATAGCTTTATCTTTTGTTTTTGTAATATCATTTACAATTTTGTCAGCTACATCATCAATATCAACCAGATTAATTTTCTCCTCTTTGATAACCGTTTCTAAAAGACGGTCTAATCGACCTATACCATCTTGCAAAAATTGAATACTTTCAGCACCTATTAGTTTTTCAGCAACTTCTTCTATTGGGCACAGCCTTTGACAACTTCCATGCTCTTTCGTAGCACATAAAACACAGCATGGTGTGAAATGACATTTACAAAACATATCAATTTTTCTTCCTTCGTGAATTTCACAGATGTCCATATTAAAGCGCTGAGAAGGCACAAGTGTAGTAAAATTTTCACCTATGGGAACTGTTTCATGATGGAGTGTTGATTTGATTTTTTTGTGATATTTTAAGCAATCTTCACACAGAGCCTCAGCGCATTCCTGGCACCATCTACTAGCTTCATTCTCTTCTCCTTCCCTGTTGCATGGGTTACATAGAATTAGAGATAGACCACCGCCTTTTCTAACTAACGAACCCACATGTTCATTTTCAGGAAATTGACTCACCCATTTGTCCAAAGGAAACCGACCAATTGCTCCCGGTGCAGGAACGAATGCTCTACACAAAGGGCAGGGAAATCCGAGTTGCTGATCGTCATCATTCGTTGTACATATAGCTTTAATGCGAGTTGATAAGCACGTGTGACAAAAAGTGTGTGCACATGGTAAATACCTTGGTGATTTGAAATTCTCTAAACAGATAGAGCACATGGTTAAATCCAACTTTTCATGAAGAAATGGCGTGCCAGTGGCCATCACTGAAACGAAAGTTAAATTTCCGAGGGGAACGAGCCCGACTGATTTACTTGTAACGTACAGATAGTTTTCATATGACGTATTTTCTCTCCGAGTTATTTCCCTTGGCCACCATCTTGGTGGTCAACCTGGTAATTAGTCCCCTACCGGTGAAACCGGAGGAGACTATAGGTTTCCTCTGAGTCTGTCCGTCCGTCTGTCTGTCCCTCTGTCTGTCTGTCAGTCTGTCCCACTTGGTTTTCCGCACTTGTTCCCTAAACGCTTGCAGATATTTGGCTGATTTTTGGTATGTGAGTGTATCTTGATGAGTTACAGATCAAGTTTGCATTTCGTTCCGCTTCATTGATTTTTGACGGAATTATGGCTTTTTCAATCTTTAAGGGTTTTCCGCAATTTTCTTCTAAACAGATACTGAGCTGATTTTTGGTATGTGACTTTATCTTGATTAGTTATAGTTCAAGTTTGCATTTCGTTCCGCTTCATTGATTTTTGACGGAATTATGACATTTTCAATTCTTAACGGGAACCAGATTACACTTGCCGGTAGGGGACTAGTATTGCTAATGCAATACTCTTAGAATGCTTGTCCTCTTTGTCTTACCAAATCTAAGAGGGTGTACCAGAAATATTTGGGGGAAAATCTTTATGGAATAAAAATTATGAAATAAAGGAGGCTTTAACAAATGTATATTTTTCAGACAAACAATGCTTTCTACCCCACAATGGCCAGTATAAAAAGTTAAAGTTGGTTGAATAATGAAAGAATATGAGCATGTTGACCTCCAATATGGCGGCCAACGGGAAATAACTCTTGCTAATTTGGGCCTACTGAAAACTATCTATTGTCTTTTTATTAATTTTCAATCTAAAGTTGAAAATGATTACATGACAAATTTGTTAACTTTAGGTTGAAAATTAATAAAAGACAGTATTATCATGATTATCATAGACCTTAAGCAAAGACCTTGCTTTAGGTCTATAGTATTATATATTCAAACTGATGATTACAACAGGGACGTCGTGTAACGTTAAACGTTAGTATACTAGTCCCTTATTTTGTTATCTTAAAAAGCAAAAGGAATTCTTTTTTCTATCATATCAGGCACTTGAAATAAGGTACGAAAGCCCATTGAGCTCATTTTCGTAGATGAAAAAATACATGTATTTTTCGAACAAACGCGATGGATTGGATGACAACTTTCGCGTCATAATGCTTAACTTAATAAACGCGTAATTTTCGCGTTAAAACGCGTAACTTTCGCGAAAAAACGCGAAACCTTTGCTATAAAACCTAGACATTTGCATAAGTCCCCATTTTCTCTTGATTAAAGGAATTTAATAATTCAATACAATGAAAAACTAAAGACTAGGCTGTTCAAACATTTTCAAAGTCTTCGAGAGTTTTTCTAAAGTGAAACTTTATAATTATGAATTTCGGGAAAAAGATTCACCCTTTCCAGCGTCATTTTTTAACACTCTCTATTAGAATCTATTAGAATTTAAAATAAGATTAAGATCTCAGAAAATTTACAAAAACGAGGTAAATTTGTATATTTTACGGAACAATTGTCACATCACATAAGTAACCTATTGTGAAAATTGGATGACAAATATTCGTATCAAAATATTTGTCTCCGTTAGACTCACTGTAGAAATAGATCGTATTTTGAGGTTGCGCTACGTGGTCAAACCATTGCGTACGAAAACATTGACAATTTATTCATAAGCTAAATGACGAATTATTTTTGAAGGAGGTGAAAAACTATGATCTAATTATATTAAGTGAAACACATGTTGGGTATAATGACCAATCTTTTTATGGATGGTTTTACATACTTTCCTGTATGTAGCTAGGGACATGTCCGCAAATGGAAGATTTTATAGGGGAATTGGCATTTTTCGTAGAAATAGTATTATGGAACATATTAAGTTATTACCAGGTACCCTGACAGATTTTCAATGGATTAAGATTGAAAATAATGTTTTTTAATCTTCAAAAGGACATTTATATTATGTTATGTTGTACATGTTATATTATACCCAACCTCCAATTCAACTTACTTTTAAAAGTTAAATTATGATGTTATTGAAAAAGATGTTAATAAGTTTAAGAATAAGGGGAAATTATGATTTGTGGGGATATGAATGCATGCACTGCTTTCATCAGATGATTTTATAGTACATGATAATGTATGGTATGTTAATCTTGTTTTCTTTGGCTGCCCACCACCTCGCCCCAACTTTCAAAAACGATGCTACGTCCCTTAATTCTGTATAGGACTCATACCAACAGGGTCAAATAAATCAATTAGAAAAAGTGCAGCAAGGTATGTGATGGGACTCTATAGAAATAGATCGTCCAAAGAACTGCAGTGACCAAGCTCATACAACGAAGAAAGGAAGCAAGACTGTGGCTGTTATTTGCATACGAGAGTTTCTGAAACCGGTGAACAGACAGTCACACACAATAACACGCCTTTGCAATACCATCAGCAAATAAGGTTTGTAAACATTCTTTGTAAACACTGAAGGCCTGTTTAAAAAAAACAAACAAACTTACGACTAAGACCAAAAACTTAAGTTGATTGTAAAATCTTCCAAAATTAATTATTCAGTTAAAAATTACTAGTATATATAAAAATATCTTTCTAACTTCTATTTAAAAAGATTAAAACAATTTTAAATTTATGTAAGATAGTTATTCACAAAATTACTTTTTGTTCGTAGACTGTAAGTTCTTTTGTAAAACGGGGCCCTGTACCATAAGATATTGTGACCACTAATTCATGAGATTTTTCAAATCTTATTTGAGCAGCTACCTCAACTAACTCAACTCAGTATCTGACCATTTTTAATCTTTATACAAAAGAAATTCAATCACAAACAAAATAAGTATTCGTAGGACTAAGAAGGTCAGACATTGGAATGGAAACTTTATGACAGAATCAGTATGATTAGTATTTTCAAGATTGAAGACAGTAAGCAAGCCGTCGTTAATTTTTTTCACATGTATTTCACATGTAGTGCTTTCATATTTGACATATGCATTATATGTGACAAATATACTAGGATTTTTGACTTCTTGACCTTGAAATTTGATCTACCTTTCAAAAAGTTTAACATTACTTTAAATTGGTCATAAAATTTGAATGAGAAAAGATAGGGCTTTCATATTACATATGTTTATTACCTATGACAAGCATTCCTTTGGTAACCAACATATCTGACCTCTTGACCTTGGAGTTTGACCAACTTTTGCAAAAATACACCCAACTTTAACCTTGGCCATAACTTGAACAGTTGGTGTCAGGGCTTTCATATTTCATATGTATATTTATCGTGACAAGACCTTTGGTGAAAATATTTATGACCTTAGGGTTTGACCCACTTTCAAAAAAGCTTTAACTTGGGCCATAACTTTTGAACAGTTAGTACTAGGGCTTTCAAATTTCACAGGTATATTCCTTATGGCAAGACCATCCTTTGCATACCAACAATTTTGACCTTGACCTTAGAGTTTGACCTACTTTTGAAAAAAATTAACGTTGGCCATAACTTTTGAACAGTTGGTGCTAGGGTTTTAATTTGCATGTGTATTTCTTATGACAAGATCTTCCACTGCGTAACATTAATTTTGACCTTTGAGTTTGACCCACTTTTAGAAAACATTAACCATGGTCATAACTTTTGAATGATTGGGGCTATGGTTTTCATATTTCACGTGTATTTCTTGTGACAAGACCTTCCTTTGGGTACCAACATAATTTACCTCTTGATCTTGGAGTTTGACCCACTTTTGCAAAACTTTTCCCAACTTTAACCTTGGCCCTAACTTTTGAACAGTTCGTAGTCAGACTTTCATATTCATCGTGACAAGACCTTTCTATATGTGTAAATTTTTCTGACCTTTTGACCTTGACGTTAGACATTGACCCACTTTTAATAAAGCTTTAAACTTGGCCATAACTTTTGAACAGTTAGTACTAGGGCTTTCGAATTTCACAGGTACATTCCATGTGACAAGCCCTTCCTTTGGATTCCAACAATTTTGACCTTGGAATTTGACCTACTTTTAAAAAACTTTAACCTTGCCATAACGTTTGAACAGTTGGTGCTAGGGCTTTTCTTTTGACAAGGTCTTCCACTGCTTACCGTTAATTCTGACCCTTTAACCTTGACCTTGAGTTAGAGTTTGACCCACTTTTAGAAAACATTAACCTTGACCATAACTGTTGAATGGTTGGTGCTTGGGCTTTCATAGGTTTCATACCAGGTTTATCCATTGACACAAGTCCTTTCTTTTGGTAAAAACATTTTTGATCTCTTGACCTTGGAGTTTGACTTGCATTTGAGAAACTTTATCCTTCGCCATAAGCTGTCTTACGTGGGCATCAGTGTTTCACAAACACATCTTGTTTTTTTCTCAGCAGTTCACATAGTATTAAATAAAAACTAACAGAGATCGATGCTATATTTTATCCAGAATGTACACAAAGTGTGTGTTGCCAATTTTATTTTTTGTGTAAGGATAAAAATTTAAATAAACAAAACTTTTGTCTAGGTTTTTATATCATAAATCCGATAATGTGATAATTATCTGAAATTTTATTCAGTCAATAATATCTGATTAATCATTTGAAAACTAAAGCTTAATGCAATGGTCGAGAAGTATTGAATTCAAGATTTAATCATCAGAAATCAGTAAATTTTACAAAACAAGATACCTAGTTTTCAAAGCAATACTTTTCTTTGGATATCAACAGTAGCATTTATAACTTTTATATTATTTTTCTTAGTATAATTCTATAGTCTGACTAGGTGTAGTCACTTCATTCAAAACGACCCCTTTTTGTTATACAGACTGATAGTATTGTCATGTAATTTGTATTTACTGCCATCTGGTAATTTCAAATTTTACATGACAATATGAATATCTTTGGATTGTCAAGGAGATGTAGGTTATTAGTTTTTAGCTCACGTACCTAAACCAAAGGCTCGAGTGAGCTTTTTGGATCATTTGTCCGTTGTCTGTCATTGGCGTCTTCGTTATAGACGTTAACTTTTCACATTCTTGACTTCTTCTTAAGAACCTCTGGATCAGTTTCATCCAAACTGGACACAGAAGCTGAACATCCTTGTATAAAGGGGATTCAAGTTCCTTCAA